ACCCATCGACGAGTAATACTCCGCGGAGATGTCATGCACAGCAGGAGAATGGTAAGCTACGCCCGTTCTCAGTTTCTGCGCGAATATGCCGTCTTCATCCAGCCGATCTTTCAAGGTGTCGATGCTGGCCTCATCGCCAGATAATGTTACGTTGAAAGGGCTGTTGACGCAAGCAACGTGGATATTTCCAGAGAGAGAAGCCTTGGCCAGGTATCCTGAAACGCCACTTTCAGGAAGATTGACTGACATCATGGCTCCGGGACGAGGTAACGATTCCATAAGCTGATTAGCCAGTCTTCCTCTATGGTAGGCGACTTTACATGCGGACTCAAGTGACAAAGCACCGATACAGTACGCCGCGGCGATCTCGCCAGAGGAGTGGCCAACCACTGCAAGTGGCGCAATACTGAAGCTTCTTAGCAGTTCCACAAGCGCTATCTGGAGAGCAGTGCAGAGGGGCTGGCTGAAACAGGGCTGATTGATGTTGTTCCCGTGCTCCATCTCGTCTAGTCAAGAGTCAGCGTGAATGCCAAAGTAGAGGCAGTTGGCTGTCTTACCAAGTAACGACCATGTTGCGCCTAATGAGCGAAAGAAATTCCCGATCCTGACCAAAGTTGACCTGAAGATGGGAAATCTGAGCAGTTCCCAGCCCATGTGAGCGTACTGCGCACCTTGGCCAGTGAATATCCATGCCATGCCAGCCTCTCGAGCTGAACGTATGAGGGTCGAGGTAGCAGCGCTAATGGTCGTGGACTTCTCGCCGGGATCAACGACTGCGTATGCCTTCCACGCCATGACACTCCTACGAGAGGACAGAGTATACGCGAGGCGACGTAGTTTCTCTTCGTGCCCTAATACGCGCTTGTCGAAGTAATCTGTATACTGCTGTATCACGAGTCGTAACGCAGCTTCGTCCCTCGCAGACCAGACGAGTAGCTGGACACTCCCTTCCGGTGCCTTGACACTTTGAGTAGTAATCACGGTTGTCGAGCCATTCATATGAGCAGGATCGACAGTCACCCCATACTCGCTGGCATGGTCGTGATCGTTTGTGCCATTCAAGTTCCCATTTGGAGTGTTGCCATTCGTTTGTGGCTTCTGCAGAGTCGAGGGAACCAATGTATTGTGGAAGCTTTGTAGATTCATGGACTCAAGAGTGTGATATGCATCGTCCAGTATGACATGTCCGTTGGAACCGCCGAAACCGAAGGAGTTGACTGAGATGCGACGCAGCCCATTGGTCGGCCATGGGATGCATTTCGTGGGTACCTCAACATTGTAGATCTTGGCGTTGATCTTTGGACTGATCTTCTCGAAGAGTGCGCTCGGTGGTATGACGCCCATTTCCAATATCATGATAGACTTGAGAATTCCAGCTAGTCCGCTACAGCCTTCGAGATGGCCTATATTAGATTTGACGGATCCAACATATAGCGGGTGTTTTTGTGATCGGCTAGCCCGGAAGGCCCTGCCTATCGCCTTCATCTCCGTGGCATCTCCGAGCTGAGTACCAGTTCCATGAGCTTCGACGTATCGCGTAGACTCAAATCCCAAGTTGCAGCTCTTATAAACGTGTCTTATCAACTGCTCTTGCGATTCCGCGCTGGGCTGCGTGATGCCTGGTGTGCGTCCATCCTGGTTTGAGCCAGTCGCTCGAACTACGGCACGTATGACATCTGAATCTCGAATCGCGTCCGAAAGCCTCTTGAGTACCAGCACTACCGCACCTTCTCCACGGGCGTAGCCATTAGCACGGTGATCGAAGCTATAGGAGACGCCGTCTGGTGAGAGCATCTGCATGTTCGATAGGTAAAGCGAGATTTCGACGCTGAGGAGGACGTTCGCTCCAGCAAGAAGAGCCTAGCGCGTGTCAGTACTCTTGTAGTGGCACGATCTCGTAGGGCAGCGTTACCATTGAGCTCTGGCCGCTACGAAGCGAATGACAAGCCAAATCCATCGCAATCATGCTTGTCGAGCATGCCGTGTTCAGTTGGATGCTAGGCCCTTTGAAGTCGAAGTACCAGCTAAGCCTATTGGCTAGGATAGAAGGCGAAGTACCCGTCGCGGTATTGGTCGGTGCTTCGTCGGGGTCTCTAGCCAAGATTCTGCTGTAGTCATCGGACATGGAAGCAGCGAACACTGCCGTCTGTGATCCAGCAAGGGTTTCTGGTGGAATTCCAGCTGCAACAAGTTAGACTTCGCCGACAATAATAGTGATGTAGAGGTTGGGTAGCACTCACCATTCTCCAATGCTTTGTATGAAGTTTCCAGTAGCCATCTCTGCTGAGGGTCCATTGATGCGGCCTCTTTCGAGGTTATAGAGAAGAAGGCTGCGTCAAAGGCGGCAGGATCTTCTTTGACAAAGTGAGCATTCGTGGAATATACCTGTCAACCTCTGTTAGCATTGGCTGCTCTCTTGACGTTTCGTAAATGTAGCTTACCGTATTATCCATCGCTACGTTGGAGTTGTAGAATGCATCGATGTTGCCTCGGGACTTAGGCCACGGACGACTGAGGCTTCTGCCTCTTTGTAGATTGTCCCAGAAGCTGTGGTCCTCATTGTGACCTTCCGGTAGCTTGTAGGACAGCCCGACGATGGCGATGGGTTCCATGGCTGTGAGGCTTCGGCGTAAGTTCACGGTGTTCAGTCACTGTTCAAGTGCGGTGCTCATTCAGTTACACCAAAACATATCGGAAGAGAAAGCGCATAGAGATGGTCATGCTATTTCGAGCTTTCCGAGGTATGATGATCTTGACGCATATGCTGGGGTGCGAGGTGATTGGCCGTTGCTACCGATGGTATGGCTATTGGTGGTAAGCCATTACAGCCTGTGCCCCCCAAGGCAGACCTACAGGAAGCGTTAAAATCCTTGGAGGTTATTTCCTTGAAAGAGTTGATGCGCGTGCAGGGATGGCTGCATGCGAGTTGGTTTCCCAAAGCGACCAAATGTCAGCCGTTAATATCGCCCACTGCCACCCACGTACGTTCAATCTGCCGTAGCCAGTCAGCTTAATAAAGCGCCGGCAAGGCAGTCATCCACTGCGCTGGAATCATTTTTCCTTTGCTCTACCGCCTTTCCCGTCAATCCAATCTGCTTACAAAGGCAGAACCGCACTCGCATACCATAATCGCTTCACATCATGGACCCAGCTGCGCTCGCACAATCCTCGCCAGAAGAGCAGGCTATATTCCTAGCCGCGCTTTTGGAGGGTCCAGCTCTAGAGCCTCCCCTGGGTACGAGTTCAAACTTCGACCACCCAGGCGGAAGCCATGCCATTGGCTATGGTGTTGTCTTGCTCGGAAGCATTGTCGCTGCACTTGCGGTTCTGCTTCGTTTGTGGTCGAGAGCGCTGTTGAAGACATTTCGCATCGAAGATGCGCTCCTGATATCGGCCCTAGTAAGCATCTCAGTATCCAGAAGACGAACCAAACTAAACAGGCTGCACAGGGTCTATATGCTGGACACTCATATGTCTTATACGAACTCGCGATATTCCCAGGCTTTGAAGTTCATCAGTGGAACATCCAGCTCCAAAACCTGTTTCCAATCCTTTACGTGAGTGCGATAGCGATCGAAACATGGACCTTACCTGATCCTTAACAGCATGTTCATCTGGGCTCAATCTTTTACGGTTTGGTCATCATGCTCCTGAAGGTAGCCATCTTGCTCGACTGGCTCAAGATCTTCGTGCCTCGTGGGCAGCGCAACGCCGTGTTCTGGATTTCCCATGTCATGATCTGGGCGAACATCCTCTTCTATGGCGTCGGCACCTTGGTCGAGATCTTCCAGTGCAGTCCACGGACCAAGATATGGAATCCTTTGGTAGAAGGCAAGTGCCCTATCGACATGAGAAGCCACAACATGGCTGCGGGTATCGTCAACCTCATCTCCGATCTGGTCATCCTTGGGCTGCCACAGAGGGTGATCTGGCAGCTACACATGTCGCGCGCCAGCAAGATAGGTATCTCGCTCCTCTTCGGTATCGGAATTTTCGCTTGTGCGAGCGCAGCGGTGCGTCTATATTACATTTACAGGCTGTTGCACACATCCGATCAGCTGTATATCGTCTCCATCGCGGGTCTTTGGGGTGTAGGCGAGATGACGGCTGGTTTCCTCATCATAGGCTTCCCATCGCTTCCCAAAGTCGTCAAGGCCCTGCCATTCTCGGATTCTGTTGTCTCGCTCTTGCGACAGATAACGCGGCCGGGCTCAAGCGGTGATGCTGAAGGTCAGGCCGAGACGCGTCGCGGGCTGCCATCGTGGCACAAAGCCGCACCACTAAAGAAGCGTCGCGACCAGTTCGAGGTCAGCGAATTGAGCGAGTATGATCTTCCCGATCGTGATAGGGTTCACATGGGTGATAGGCGCTAGGTAGAGGGCGCATGGCTGGCATCGCGGGTTGGTGGGGTCGCATTCTTCGTAGTTCATCATAGTCCTGGAATGGAAAGATGCAGGTGCCCTGCTGTTCCCGGCACAACTTCGGTAAACGCGTCCCAGCCACTCTTGAACCGCTGACGTGAGCCCATCCATCACGTGACGAACACGAATTGCCCTGCGCGTCATGGCGATCCTCCCCTATTGCTCTCCTCACTGCTTGATACCCTGCCGACACTGCAACATTCGCCTGCATGCAGGTAAGAGCTCACCAATATGATGTTGCATGCCGAGTCTGGGCACCCTTTCGACCGGTCACTGCCTGTGGTCGCTACAGCCGCGTTGAGACGCCGCAAGCTGCAAGCAGCAAGGGTAGCTATGGCCCACGGATAGTGCCACCAGATCCAGCATCTCATTCGCCTATACTCAGCCTCCCTGGAGCGTCCTTCTCTCATTGCCTGTCTCAATGCTACAGTCAGATCGATCTGATGGTTGTGTCGCACGGGCTATGCACCCATCCGGGGGCAGACCGTACATATAACGACTATCTTGACTGTGCAGTGCGTCACTCTCGGTTATTCCTGTTACACACCTGGGCATCTACTTTACGAAGGTTTCCACAGAATGGGTGAGGCATACGACCCAAGGACCGTCTTTAGCCCCAGCCGAGAGTTGGCAGCCCGCATCGGGAATCAGAAGGCCCGTCAAACAACAAACCCCTCGTCCTCATTCTATCGCAACCTGGAAGATGCACTAGAAGTTAAGAAGAAGTCGCACACCTTCTATTCTATCCAACAGAACCTATGGCAAGCAGCTGAGTCAACAGTCGACTTCATCTCCAACGACATTCTCTCTTTTGGCACCAGCGGCATCTTGAAGACAGAATACTTGAAAGAGCTTTCCCGATATGATCAACACAACCCTGGGGCGCCGGGATCGCGACTCGCCGAAGGAAACTACGCCTATATAGAAGAAACCGAGCAGCACATTGCTAAGTTTCATGGCGCTGAAACGGCACTACTGCTGGCTTCTGGGTTCGAAGCAAACGTGGCCATATGGACTTCAATACCACGACCGGGCGACGTAATTCTATACGATACCTTGGTGCATGCCAGCACTCATGAAGGGATTGACCAGAGTCTGGCAGGAGAACGAGAGAGTTTCGCACACAACAGCATCGAGGACTTTCGCCGCATCCTAACATGGATCATAGAGTCCAATCCGTTGATCCAAAGGGGTGCAAGATCAGTCTTAGTAGCTGTCGAGTCTGTCTATAGTATGGACGGTGATGTCTGCCCATTGCAAGAACTTGTTGATGCCGCGAAGGAATTGGCTCCTTCCGGAGGTGTCCAGTTCGTGGTGGATGAAGCCCATAGCAATGGCATATATGGGCCTCAAGGCAAGGGTCTTGTGTGCGCTCTCGGTCTGGAAAAAGAGGTGGCGATAGTGATGCATTCGTACGGCAAGGCATTATCCTCAAGAGGCGGTATGTATCTCAAGATCTACTTGAAGGTTATGTATACTCATTCGCAAAACAGCTGCCATCCTTGGAAATGAGACAATCAAATCTACGCTCCTCAACTTCGCACGAACTATCATTTTCACGACTGCGCCTTCATTCGCATCTGTAGCACTTATCCGGACAGGATACAGGCTGTTAGAGTCGGAAGTTGGAAGACAGGTAAGTACCCTCTTCATCTCAATGTCCACGACGATCGTTCGCTGACCCTTTACAAGGCCCAAGTACAGGTTCACGATCTTGTGGATTTCTTTTTACAGTCAATCATATCGCACCCCCTCTGGGAAAGCGCAGAAAACACCGGGCTACTCGCCATTCCCCTGCTAAAGGACTGGGAAGGATCACCAACAGCGACATCCCACATAATCACGATCCGCACCCGACAACCATGCACATACTGGCTGTATTTCCACCTCCTCCTAGACGGCTACTGTGTCTTCCCTGTCGAGCACCCTGTCGTCGCCAAGGGCGAAAGTCGCTTAAAGGTTACATTCCACGCCGGCAACACGGAAGAGCAAGTAAGCGGGATGGTAACATCAATTTTCGCGTGGATCCAGGAAATGATGGAAATCGAGGGAAGCCAGGATCATGCGCAGCGAATCAGCGTTTCGCAAGCTGCCCACAAGGTCTATACTTGGATGGCGCATGAAGGGCTGACTGGGTTTGGCATGCCTGCTTCGATGGTGAGATACTGAGGGTACCTTCTATTGGCCTCACGATCATTACCCGGATAATTCGTCTCGTCTCGAGTTCGCCTTGGTAGTTCAAAGATTATGCACAATGTGACAGGGATGGAGTAGCCTGGTCAACCGGGCGTAAAACGCATGCAACAAACGAAGCCAGCCGCCTTATCCCTCATATCAGCTTCATAAAGTACCAAAATGGCGGTCCCCGAGCCGCGAAGATCATTCCTTCATGTACATGTTGTGGGTAACACGAAATATGCACGTAAGCCATTGAGGCTTGGCGAGAAGGAATGGAATGGGGCGAAGTAAGATCATAGTTGCAGAAAGGTTGACGGCAGTTCCTTCAGCCTTCACATGCTAGCGCTTCGGGCCGGTGGATCTTGGATGCTCATACGTGCATGTAGGATTCTTCCGTCGAGGCTTTTTTGGAGATTAGGATATGCCCAGGTTGTTTTAGTCCAACCCACACCTAGAACTTTTGTATGCTTGTTGTTGTTCAAGTATTGGATATACGCAATGGCCAAGTCTCACCGTGCTCGGATAGAATGAGACAACCCAGGCTTTGTCTACACACTCCAAGGTGCCGTATTTTTGACTTTACACGCGATCGTGCAATAGAAACCAGGTAATCTTTCATAGCCTCATTATCCGTATGAGACAATTTCTGGAGTTTGACATAGCCTAATGTCCACGTGAAGTCCATAAATCACGCGGGCCGTGCACCACGATGCAGCGCCGCTGCCTAAACAATTACTGTGCCACAAACGCGCAGAACCCTTACACGGGCCACAGATGAGGTGGCGGCGTTGTGTCTGGCTCACCTTCGCTCCCATCAATTCTCCGGCAACCACCACTCTTTTGCATTGCCGTCCGTTTCGCAGCACGCAAGCATGGCGCCTAAAGGTGATCTAAGCGGAAAAGTAAGGTGCCACCTGAGTGATCCGCGTACGTACGCTGACATGTGAAGACGGTGTTTGTGATTGGCGGGTCTAAAGGACTGGGGAAGGAGATGTCGAAGGTTATAGCTTCTCAAGGTACGAGCTTAGCATGTCTAGAGTGTCGTTCATCATTGTTGAACAGCAACGTATAGGCGCTCATGTGACTATCTTTGCGCGCGGGCAGACACAACTCGACGAGGCCAAAGATGAGATTTTTGCAAGCAGAAGAGACGAAAGCCAGCAGGTTGTGGCAATCGCTGCAGATCTTGGCACACCTTCAACAGTGAGTAGGCGTCCGATTCAACTGCCATAAGAAGAAGGCAAGTCCAAACTAGCATTCTAATGATACCACTAGGCATATTCCCTTTTTGTATCACAGCCGACGACTCCGGATATCGTGTACTGTGTTGCTGGCGGTACACCGTCGGAGTGCGGGTACTTGCTCGACCTACAGCCTGAGGTATTCGAACGCTGTATGAACAACAACTACTACTCAAGCCTGTACCCAGCGCAGGCGGCAATGAAGCTGTGGACTCAAGATGACGAAGACGCTGCGGTGCCATTAAGCCCAAAGTTGAGGAAGATTGTGTTCGTGAATAGTTCCGCATCGCTTGTCCCGGCACCTGGCTACCTAGCATACTCCGGTAAGTGATCGTGCATCGCCGTAGAACGGTGCAAGCCTTAAAACTCAGTATACTCACTGATCGTGCGTACATCAAGCCGCCAAAGCTGCTCAACGCTCACTTGCCGACACCCTACGCATGGAAGTAATGAGGTACTCAGGCCCAAAGAGCACGTACGCCGTCCAATGTATCTTTGCGCACAACTTCATCACGCCAACCTTTCTACAAGAGCAAAAGACTAAACCCGAACTCACCAAGCGCATCGAAGGCACGTCGGGCGAGCTTCACGAATTAGAGAAGCAGTTTCCCTACGCTGCGAAGATTGCGCCCGAGATTGTGGCAAATGTAGCGAGCGGCGACTATGCTGTATGTGATGGGAGATTCGATCCTCAGCTATTGTGGGCGAATGCTATGGGTGCGAGTCCGCGGCGTGGATGGGGGATCGTGGACACGCTGATGGCCATGTTTATGCTTCTCGCGTGGCCATTCGTGAGGCGTGATATGGAGAAGAAGTGTTGGGGTGATGCGTTGGGTGCAAAACAGGATGAAGATACGAAATCATGATGGTCGTCCTACATCATCAATGGCCTATAAGGTTCTGTTTAGTGCGATTAATAATCGTACTCTCTAACATATGGGGTATGCCTCAGTCTTGATAAGGGCCGAAGCAATGACGTTCCCGCTATTTGGGGTTTGCACGTGACCGACAATGAGGCACAGTTGCTTTATCTTGATCTTCTGTTCCCTGCCTCCCCACATTGCACTCGACATACATCCCGGTCTCATCATGGGTAGCGTGCTCAGTTCAATCCGTCCCACGCCACAGCCCCCATCTGATAGCGCACGTTTCATAAGTCCGGTACAACGTCAAACGCACTTGTGCGGTCCGCGAACCATCTACAATAGCGTCAAAGATCTCAGTAAGCGTGTCGACTTCTACGAAGAAATCACTATCTTCGCCTGGCCGTCACGCGGAGGTGTGATCGTACTCGAGAGGCCCTGTCCTGCAGATTTCGACTTTCTCGGCCTCGACCGTCTCGATCCTCCGAAGAAGCGTCACGCCACTCGACAAGAGGAAGACGACTTTGCTCAGCGCTTACTATTGCTCGGTGGGAAGTGGTGGGATTCTCCCGCTAGACACTCCCTGTTCACTCAACCCGACCACTTGCAAGATGAGGACGAAATGGCTGCTCTCCCTGAGCCGACGGCAAGGGAAAACGCGTGGGTTGGTGTCGCATGGCCTAGTTCGGGTGGATTGGTCGTAGCTGAGTGGCCGACCATGATGTACCCTGGTGGACGCATGGACGACGTCGCTCCAGACGATGTGTCGAGATTGTTTTTGTGTATGACGATGGACGAGAAGGCGGCAGTGCTGATGGACAGACTCGAAGGGAAGTGGTGGAAGGGAGTCGAGAATTACGAGGGTAAAGCTTTCATTGGCAGCTGGGGAAATCATCGAGGCGAAGTTGGCGGACTTCAACAAACGTGGCCAAACGAAGGAGAGAGCCAGAATCCTGGTAGTAAAGCTCTGCCTGGTCAACGAGTTCTCTCATCCAGAGAATCAAACTTCGATGTAGGAAAATATTGCTGACGTGTCGAGTATACCTTGCCCTTTGACTTTCGAACCGGACGTCAGGCCGCAAGGCGTGAAGAGTCACACCCTGCCACGCTGATCGCGGATCCGCCTGAGTCGCATTGAACCATGGTCATTGCAGGCGGTACGTTGGGTCGGCGTGGAGTGATGATCTGATGTGGCACCAGTTGGGCAGACGCGACTGGTCTAGTCCATATCAGGTATAGTGCAGCAGGAGTGACGTAGCTGCGATTGGCGGGGAGCTCTTTGCCTGACCGGAAACCTGTACGAGGATCCAGAAGCTTCTACCGACAGGGCAGAACCCACGCCTAGCTTCGAGACATGACGAGAAACCACACGATGTCACTGACGGCTTCCTGACGCTTCGTGAAGTGTTGAGTAAAGCTGCCTTCACCCTATAAATATTTCTCGAGTCCTTTGTGCACCACTTCCTTTCTTCTCCAGAGATACCCAACAACAACACAACGCATACACGATTCCTGAGTACGAGCTCACGACCCACGATTATTACCTTTGGCTTCGGGCCATATACACCAGGCTATAGTCACGAATCACCATGACTTCATTCGACGCCTACACCGACCGCGCCGCGAAGGCTCTAGCAGACAGCTTCGATCTAGCTAAGGGCTATGCGCACTCACAACTCACACCCCTCCACCTCGCCGTCTCGCTCATAGATCCGCCCAAAGATCTGGCCAACCAAGTCGACGTACCGCCGCCGCCGCTATTCAAGCAAGTACTCGAACGCGCGAATGGCGACCCACAACTCTTCGAGCGCAACCTCAAGAAGGCTATGGTACGGTTACCAAGCCAAGACCCTCCGCCAGAGCGGACTTCACCTTCACCTGCTATGGCCAAGGTGCTCCGCTCCGCCGAAGACTTGAGCAAGACACAAAAAGACAGCTTCATCGCCGTCGACCACCTCATCCAGTCCCTCTGCCAGGATGCGCAAATGCAACGGATCCTCGCCGAGTCGAACGTACCGAACGTCAAGCAGATCGATAATGCCATCCTGGCACTCCGAGGCACAAAGCGAGTAGACTCCAAGTCGGCAGACGCGGAGCAGGAGAATGAGAACTTGAAGAAGTTCACCATCGACATGACGGCAATGGCACGAGAGGGCAAGATCGACCCAGTCATTGGTCGAGAAGACGAGACACGCAGAGTCATCCGCATCCTGACTCGGCGAACCAAGAACAACCCAGTCCTCATCGGAGAACCTGGTGTTGGTAAGACTACAGTCGTCGAGGGTCTTGCCCGCCGCATTGTCGATGCGGATGTACCGGCCAACCTCGCAGCCTGCAAGCTGCTCTCGCTCGATGTCGGTGCTTTGGTTGCTGGCAGCAAGTACCGCGGAGAGTTTGAAGACCGCATGAAGGGCGTCCTGAAGGAGATCGAGGAGTCGAAGGAGATGATAGTATTGTTCGTCGACGAAATCCATCTTCTCATGGGTGCTGGTTCATCCGGAGAGGGCGGCATGGACGCTGCCAACTTGCTGAAGCCCATGCTGGCTCGTGGTCAGCTCCACTGCATTGGTGCGACTACCCTCGGCGAGTACCGAAAGTACATCGAGAAGGACGCTGCCTTCGAGCGTCGTTTCCAGCAGGTCCTCGTCAAGGAACCGTCCATTCCCGAGACCATCTCCATCCTCCGTGGTCTCAAGGAGCGCTACGAGACCCATCACGGTGTCACCATCATGGACGGTGCCATTGTCGCATCAGCCACCCTTGCTGCTCGCTACCTCACTCAGCGCCGACTACCCGACTCTGCCGTTGACCTTATCGATGAGGCTGCGGCAGCCGTCCGTGTCACCCGGGAGTCACAACCCGAAGCGCTTGATAACCTCGAGCGACGCCACCGACAACTACAGATCGAGATTCACGCGCTCTCCCGAGAGAAGGACGAAGCCTCACAAGTCCGTCTGAAGGAAGCGCGCGCAGAGGCCGCCAACATCGAAGAAGAGCTGAAGCCCCTTCGTGAGATGTACGAGCGTGAGAAGGGTCGCAGCAAGGACATCCAGGAGCAGAAGCTCAAGCTCGAAGGCCTCAAGACGAAGCTTGCTGAGGCCGAGCGTATGCGCGACATCCAGACTGCTTCCGATCTCAAGTACTACGCCATTCCCGATGTTGAGCAGCGCATCAGCGAGCTGGAGCGAGACAAGGCCCGCGCGGATGCAGAGATGTGGTCTCACCAAGCTAGTGGTGGTGGTGAGGCTCTCATGAGCGACTCTGTTGGTCCGGACCAGATCAACGAGATTGTCGCTCGCTGGACCGGTATCCCAGTCACTCGACTCAAGACTACAGAGAAGGACAAGCTGCTAAACATGGAGCGCCACCTCCAAGAAGTCGTCGTTGGTCAGAGGGAGGCTGTCGTCTCCGTCTCCAACGCCATCCGACTTCAGCGCTCTGGTCTGGCCAACCCCAACCAACCGCCCAGCTTCTTGTTCTGTGGTCCTTCCGGTACCGGTAAGACACTCCTCACAAAGGCTCTTGCAGAGTTCCTATTCGACGACGCAAAGGCCATGATCCGCTTCGACATGTCCGAGTACCAAGAGCGTCACTCCCTCAGCCGAATGATCGGAGCACCACCCGGCTACGTAGGACACGACGCCGGAGGTCAACTCACCGAAGCCCTACGCCGCAAACCCTTCTCCATCCTCCTCTTTGACGAAGTCGAAAAGGCCGCCAAGGAAGTCCTAACGGTACTCCTCCAACTCATGGACGACGGCCGCATCACCGACGGCCAAGGCCGCGTCGTCGACGCAAAGAACTGCATCGTCGTCATGACCTCCAACCTAGGAGCTGAGCACCTATCCCGCCCCAACGCACCCGACGGCAAGATCGACCCCACCACCAAAGAAATGGTCATGGGCGCCCTGCGCAACTGGTTCCTCCCCGAGTTCCTCAACCGCATCTCCTCCATCGTCATCTTCAACCGCCTCACCAAGCGCGAGATCCGCAAGATCGTCGACGTGCGCCTCGGCGAGATCCAGAAACGCCTCAACCAGAACGGACGTAATGTGCGCATCGAGATGACGCCTGAGGTACGGGATTACCTTGGTTCGGCGGGCTACTCGCCTGCGTATGGTGCTAGGCCGCTTGCGCGTCTCATCGAGAAGGAGGTGCTTAACCGGCTTGCGGTGCTTATCCTCCGTGGTTCTATCAAGGAGGGTGAGACCGCGAGGGTCGTGCTTGATGATGGACATATTATGGTGTTGCCTAACCACACGGACAGTGAGGATGATTCGGAGATGTACGATGAGTCTGATGCTGTTGCTGAGTTGGATGCGGAGGAGGACATGGATCTTTACGACTAGAGGAATGTGAAGGGAAAGGGAGGTTGAGTTAGAGGCATTTCAGCATAGGCGTTTAGGGATTGATTGGTTTGGGAAGAGTGCCTTGGTAGAGGCACCATGATGGGATTATGATTCATGGTTTGACGATTGTTGATGAAAAGTAAAGGCGCGGGTTGGCGTTTTACTGGGTAGCATGCTAGATGACCGTGTCTTGTACATAGTTAATGAGAACCAGATTTCAAACACCTTCACCTTCGCCATGCATTAGTTATCCGTCATTGCACTGTTATGACAACATCGCGATGTCGTGATAGATGACCATCACGTTGTACAAGCTGTCTTCGTCTTTCACAGGCTACGCCGATTACGACATGGTCATGTTCAGGCACCAATCGACATGTACCATTATCCTATCCAACATTCACGAGCATCACAGCGGACATGTAAATTTCCCAGTCATGAACTTTTGTCATTTCTTCGTCTAACGTTCCCAAGATGGGCTTACTTGGCCAAACATAAGCTTGCCCAAGCCAGGGTATATTGAATCCCACACCACCACATATCGAGACAGCCTCTAGTAGAAGAAACCGAGAATCTTGCCAGCAACGTGCTTCCTGCGGGCCTCCTCGTGGTCCATGATACCAGCGGAGGTGGTCAGGACGATGTAACCGAATTGACGCGAGGGAAGTAGCTTGACGACCCACTTCTCCATGTCGCGGAGCTGGACGTTGTAGCGGGGGGAGATGACACCGGTCTTGTTGATGCGGCCGTTGAGCTGGATGACGATCTTGCCGTTGCGATGGTCGTCGACCTCCTCGAACTCGCCGATGTAACCTGAAGAAGAGAATTAGTGTTTGTTGCGGCGAAATAAACATCAGACGTCATGAAAGGGATCCGAAGACGTGTAAGTCCTCCGCAGTTAATTTATCGGACACTTAAAGCTCATTGATCGTGGGGAGTCGAGATCAGTGAGTAGTTATCAGCCCGAAGAGGTGATGGGGTTGCTAGCGGAGGAATACACGTCTTTGGGGACATGACGCGTGATGGAATAGATAAACAAGTCGACGTACCGTGACGCTGCATGACAGTGAGGAACTTGACGATGACCTTGGAGGAAGGACGGATCAGGACCTGGCGCTTGCCAGCCTTCTCAGCCTGTTCAATTGTTAGCGCATGTCCATGTCCATCTCCAGGGTTGTAGCTTACGTTGTTGATGGCGTTGAGCGCATCGTTGAGGACGGAAGTCTTGACCATATTGACGGTTTAACGGGAGATTCTCTGTGGCGGAGGCGACTGAGGTATCTGCGCGTGCGTGGTTAGCCTCCAGATGCCAGAGCATGGAGAGTGCCCTTGCAGAAGGGTTCTTCAGCTCGTGTCGAAGAGGAGAAGCAGTGTCGCCCTCATCCTTGCGGACGGCGGCGATTGCATCCCCGGGCTCTGAAGGGCACTCGGGTCCAAGACATACCTCGTGAGGGTGCGGTGGGCGGTAGGGAAGGTCGATGTTGCGAGAAAAGTTCGAGTTTGGAAGGCGCAAATTGGTGTGGTGGACCGTGTCCTCGCTAACGGGGCTGGGCTTGGCAGCAACGACGGGACCCTTGCAGGCTCAGTGCACCCAGCACCAAACTCCAACACCTGGCTGTCCTGCCACACGTCGCATTCACGATACAGAGAGAGGATATGTCTGCCGAGCACGGGACAACATATCGCAGGGCTTATGGTTCAAACTTCACATACATGCGATGCTATCGCGCCTTCACGTGCCCTCGCGATCGCCAACTGTCTTAGTCATGACGTAGCGGCAGTCACTTTGCCTCCCATTATCCCTTACGAACCTCACGTGTAGACATCCGGAAGTCCCCTCATACACTCTAGTTCACCCTTCTGTTTCATCATGTCTGAAGCCTGCTGTACCTGCGCTGCGCTCCTATCCTCTATTCCCCCAACATATGATGAGAAGACCGAGAAGCCGTCGCAGTTCGAGCGCAGACTCGACTGCTGCGGTCGTGCCATATGCGCCAGATGCTTGACGGATAACCCTAGATTTCAAAACTACTGCCCATATTGCCAGATAGCGACAGGGCCATCAGCACTACCACCACAAGGTCTCCGCGACCCTCCTACGTATTCGCCACCGGGCGAGCAAGTCGACGACGAACTACCACCATACTCAGCAGGCAACGCGCTGCAACCAACATCTGAGAAGTCGAGGACAGACGCCGAAGACGCGCCTGATGTTCTACATTTTGTCGACCAGAACAACGACTCGATCTTATCGCTGTCGCTCCGATATGGTGTACCCGCCGACGCCTTACGCCGAACGAACAACCTGTATGCGGATCATCTACTAGCGGCGCGTAGGACGGTACTCATACCGGGAGAGTTCTACAAAGGTGGGATCAGTCTAAGCCCGAGGCCACTAGAGGGCGAGGAGGAAGAGATCAAGAAGACAAAGCTACGGAAGTTTATGGTCAAATGCAAGGTCGCAGAGTAAGGGCATCACCTTCCACCATATAGTGGACAGAACTAATATCCTCACTAGATACGACGTTGCACTCCTTTACCTCGAACAAGCCAGCTACAACCTCGAGCAGGCGATCACTGCGTACAAGGCCGATGAAGACTGGGAGAAGACACATTCTCTAGAGGCTGCGAAGAAGGGCAAGGCGAAAGAGTCGCAAAGCTCAGGGCGGCGGAAGTGGGGCTTTGGAGGCCTCACAGGTCAACTTTGATAGCGCTTCCGAGCCGATTCTCCGCTCATGGCGTTTCGCGGCGCTCCGACAACCTGGTAGAATGGGTATTACCATCGTAGTTAGCGAGCGTGTGTAGATGTTTCGAATGGCCATTTGATATACTATGCCATATATTGGAAGAACTCTTGTGCTAAAGATGGCAGAGTGGACAATGCAGCATTCACCTTTCCAACGATATCCCACGTGCAGAGCAGTTTGGACGATTCATGCACTTCCATCAGCCTCTCTGAGAAAATTGACTGAGCTTACTATCAGGAGGATCTGCTATTTTCGTTGGCCGTCGCTTCCAAAGTCTCACTCCTCGCGTCAGGCGCTCACAGCCAATCATCGCGCAGAAGCACCCCAGGCTGTAAGCGCCCATACATCTCACGAATTAGCATCTGCACCTCAACTCTGGAAGCGCCCACGCTCCATTCGCGTTTCACACTCTGGCGACCCTGCATTTGAATCCTTCTGTATCCTCATTCGACAGCTGACAGCGCACTACAACCGCTCATGCCCTGACTCTGCCCTACCTCGCTACCAGCGGAACCGCAGACAAGCCACAGTCTTTGACGCACGGTACGATCGGCACCCTGATTGAACCACAGGGAACGGCATGTGCTACTAAATGCACACATGCGGTAATACGGCAAGACCCCATGCAGGTTAATATTGCTATTCTAGGCCTGGTGTGCAGCTTACGCGCTGCGAACAACAATACTCCCACCACCAGCCCAGCACACTGGCGCTGCTAGTCCAGGTCCGACTGATGGTCGCAGCGGCAAGACAGATTGCCGTTCTTTCTTTGCTCTTGTTCGTCTATTCCTGTACGCGAACGCCAGATGGGCTGCAGGGGGTTGCACGATGTGTTCTGTAGGCGTGAAACCCCCATTGCGACCGAGATCGTTTTAAAGGCATGTGCCACCCCCAGAGTTGTTTTCTATCCCCATCCCAGGCAAAGAAGATCGACTCGGAGCCTTAGCTTATATCAGGCCTCTTTCTGTTGCTTGCTTGTTATTTCGTTCTCTCGTTCATTCGTCCTTCATTCCGAGAAAGAAAGGTGCGCACTGGTTGACGCCTAGTAATCCATCCGATCTTTATATTATACCTACGCTCTACGTTTTCGAAATATAAAAAGCAAATTCGAGACCAACGACTATCATCAAGATGAAGATCAACCCCGCTCCTTTCCACTTGGCTCAGGCCATCATCACAGGCCTAGTCGTCGTCTTCAGCATCTGCATCCTTGGCACTTCGGCACACACCCTCGATGTCTTCAACAGGCAACATCTCACAAACCCTTGGTGGGCACCGATGTGGCCTCAGCACTTCGACGTGCAGGGAACCAAGGCGCTCATTGCTTCGTCTGTCGTGACTCTGGTTCTCTGTGGCGCATTCTTGATCGCATCGTTTCTCCCTCAGGTATGCGGCCGTCGATGAATCTCATGCAAAAGAACATCGTTCTAACAAACATCAGCTTGCGCTTCGTCAGAAATACACCCTGCGGGCTCTTCTGTCCCTCGCTACCCTCCTTCCTACTCTTCTCCTCACCCTGATCACCACTATCTGGGCCCACATGCTCAACAACAACGCGCCAGAAGTCGATACCATCCAAACCTGGACCTGCAAGATGCAGAGCTCTCAACCGCTTGATCAGGATCTACCTGCTGACATTGCCATGCCTGCTGGCATGGGCAACAGCGACTTCAAGACCCTTTGTGGGGCAAGCAAGTTTGCGCTATACGGAACCCTGATCGTGTTCCTGCTTGTGGGCGCAAGCATGGCTGTCACAATGATTACCTGGATGGCGGACAAGTGGGCAGCGAGGCAGCAGAGGAAGGAAGTTGAGATGGGCAACATTCCCGTGAACAACTAGGCACATCCCAAGGGCGATGTTAATCCGAGAAGAGATGATAACGAGATACGGACGCGCTTGAATGCGCGTATTAACGTATTAAGTCGAGAGATTTGATGCATTTGGGTTATGGACCTCTGTCAGCAAGCGTGTCCAAAGGGGGAAGGCGTACCGGTGTGTTGGCGTCATAGGTCGTTGGCTGTGACTTTGAGCAAGGGTCTTCCTTTCAATGTACTATTAGGCAAATGAAGGCCTCTTTTGCGTTCAATCGCATCTTCTTCACTACGCTTGAGATTGGAATGAGGCATTGTGCAGCGATCTTGCGGGGGACTGGGCCCAGATCAGATCGACAAGTCCAATGGACGATCACCCTGGAGTTGAGCACAGGATGCGTAAGCGTGCGTGAGCGGGAACAGGCAATCATGCTGAACCGCTGCATGGCGCTTTTGTGTTTCTGGGTGAAAAGCGTGCGTTTGCTGGACATGGATTGTCTGGAAAGTTGGACGGGCCAGCAAGCAGCCTCGGAGGAGTTGTCGCGCAGAGCAACGGCACGGCAGCGCGCGCGACAAGCAATTGTCTTTGTACCAGCCAGACATTGTTCGTGAGACATTGCACGTAGCGGTTTCAGGGCAGCGTTGAGACGACCTCGCATCTCCGACAATTGACAGGTTAGATAGGGAGCGAACCGCAGTGGGGAAGGCGTGAATAAGCCGGTCAACGATCATCGTTTGGTTCGCGGTTCCAGTTGGGCCGTCCAGTCGCGTCACGACCGCTGATCAGCGCGCGACTCCTCATTGCATCAACTGCCGTCATCCGGCCAGGCCCTCGAGCGAACTTGGGTTGTCGCATTTGCTTCTTTCTCTCCCTCTTGCACTCCCACCGGAGCGTGACTCGGAAAGCGAAATCTACCCGCCGTTCCTCGTTAAGCAGCTAAATTGATCACCCGTCCTGTCATCCCGGAACCCTGTCCATCTTCAGCCCCCAAGGGCTCGAGCGTGCATCGAAGCGGCATCAGAAAGATCCCCTCTCCACCTCAGCGACACCGCATAATCCTGCCTGACCGCGCCTTCCGACCGCTCCTTCCCCCTTCACACTCACATCCACACAATTGCACTCCGCTATGCAAGCTCGCCATACGCCGACCGACGAACACCGCAGCAAGAGAAAGTTCCAACCCAGCATCACAAGCTATTTCGAGGTGCGGGACGATTTCGAGGATAGCGACGATCTGCGGGGCCTAGATCCGATTACCCGACCGCGACACCAAAACACGAGGCAACATCAGCACCAGCCCAGAGAGAAACTCGCTCCTGACGTCCCCGGCCAAGTGCAAGCAGACCTCCTCAGCGTCGGCATGAGAGTGCGAAAGAGCGTGCCGGAAGGCTACAAGATCCACAAGACATCCGGCCTCCCCTCCATCCAAACCACCATGGCGCGGCCCACCCTGGCCGTCAAACCACCCCGAGAGCCTGTATCAGAAGAAGTGCTGCACCAGCGCGAACTCCTGCCCTTCTGCGGCTTGAACAAAATCGGTGGCTTCGCAGAACAACCAACAACCAACCCACACCTCTACGCCGCGAACGGCACGCCACCACCTCCAAACTACTTCCCCCTCCCCGCCGAAACCTTCACCCAGCCCTTCTCGTCCAAAGCCTCCACAGATAGCG